AGGCGGGTCTCGAACCCGCAGGCTCAGGCAATCCGCTCACCTCAGCCTCCCAAAGGCACGAGATTACAGGCTGAGCCACCAAGCCCGGCTTCCTGTTTCTTTATCAATGTTTATTTGGTCTGCTATGCTCCTCACAGTCAGCTGACAATTTTGATGAACAATTTGATAAATGTTGACAATGTTTTTGTCAGTTCCACTCATTACTGACTGTCCTGACCTCTTCATCAATGATGCTTTCTCTCAGGAAAACACTTAATCCATTTGTACACTGCTGTCTTCTTTTAGATTAGAAAATATAGTTTATTTAGAAAGTAAATTAGAGAGGCTGGGCATGGTGGCTAACATCTATAATCCCAGAACTTTGGGAGGCTGAGGTGAGAGGTTTGCCTGAACCTACAGGTTCAAGACTAGCCTGGGCAACTTGGCGAGACCTCATCTTTACAATAAATCAAAAAATTAGCCAGCGTGGTGGTGCATACCTGTGTTTCCAGCTACTTGGAAGGCTGAGGCTAAAGGATCATCTGAGCCCAGCACATTGAGGCTGTGGTGGCCATGAGCGTACCACTGCACTACAGCCTGGGTGACAGAGTGAGACTCCAATGCAAAAAAAAAAAAAAAAAAAAAAGAAAGAGGAGATTCACCTCTCCAAGATGAGAGAGGGGGCAAAATGTTAAGAGAACCTGACCACACCATAGCTTAGCAAGCCAATGACCAGGTGGTGGTGGCAATGGCAAATGGCTGCTTGTGGTTGAGTCCCTTTAATCCTTCCCTTTGATGGGGGAAGGTCATTAAGGTGATTGGGTGGTGGTCTGTTCCACATCATCATGAAGGGGCAGGTAAGCGCTGGTACTGATGTCAGGTGATGGACAGCAGGCAGATGGGTGGGTTAGTCACATGATTGCTGCTGTGGTGATGGGGTCTGTCAGTGAAGATGTAGTTTCATACCGGACAAGGCTGAGGTGACAGGGAGAGATCCATTTGATGTAGATTTTCATGGACAGTAAGATTAGGAGTGAGTAACATGCCAGGTTCAGAGGCCGAGATGAGAGGACTGCCTGAGCCCACGGGTCCGAGACTAGTCTGAGCAACTTGGTGAGACCTCATCTCCACAATAAATCAAAAAATTAGCCGAGCCTGGTAGTGCGTACCTGTAGTTCTAGCTACTTGGAAGAGTTGCCCGAGCCCAGCAGATCAAGGTTGTGGTAGCTATGAGCGTGCCACTGCACTCCAACCTGGGTGAGAATGAGACTCCAACTAAAAAAAAGAGTGAGTAGCAGACAAAAGATTGCCAAGCACCTTATCTCTCTTCACAGACAGACTAGGGTTGGAAAGAAGAGAGAGTGGCAAATCTTGGTGCGAAAGGGGAATGAGAACAAGAGTGTAGCAGATCTTGGTGGAAGAGGAGAACGAGAGAGCAAGAGAGTGGCAGATCTCTGTGAGACCTCCAAAAATGTTAGGATCACACCCCCAATGGGGGCTCCAGAATGTGAGACTCACCGGAGTATGGGTGTCTGGTATGCAATCCGATGCTGCAAGAAAGAGGCAAATAATTGCACAGAAGTTAAAATAGAAAATATAGTTTATTTACAAAGTAAACCAGAGAGCAAAAGAG